GGCCTCTGAGTATCGGAACCAGTGCCACCGTGCACAGCCCTGGAGGAGAGACTCCATAACGCCTCCCAGGGCCCAGTCATATCTACAAAACCTAAAATGTGTGTGTGTGTGTGTGTGTGTGCTGTGCGTGCACCTGGGATTCTGATCTCCCTCAATCCAGCTAACCATTTTCAACAGGGCTTGAGACTTCTCTAATTTCCTGGACACGCAGGAGAACGAGAAGCCGGGAAACGGCTCATCCCACACCAGGCTGGCTCTCTGGGCCTCCCAGGGCTCCAGGACGGCAGGCAGGGGAGACCTGGCCCGTAAGGCCAGCGCGGGTGGTCTGGGGCGCGAATGAGCAACATCGGTCCTCGTGTTCCTGCGCCCCATGCACAGCACCTGGCCCAGAACAGTTGCTTGATAACCACTGGCCACGTTGTGCTAAACAAAGATATCACAGTTCTCTGAAAAGTCAGGTGGACGCTGGGCAAACTTTCTTGGAAATACGGAAAGAAGTTCTACACAAAGAAAAGGAGTAAAAAAAAAGCGGAACACTTTCTAGAAGGGAAGATTCCTACAGAGGAAGGGGTTGTTCACAAATGTCAACTAGGGAATGCATTTTCAAAAAAGATAGGCGGAGGGTCATTTTAGTGACTTGTAGTTGGTGCTTTTTCAGACAAGAACGATCTGAAATAAAACCGCCACTCTCAGCCCATGGGGCGCCTGCACCCTCAGCTTCCCGTTGGGTGGCACGCAGCCCCTCCGGTCCTGTCCCCTCCCGTCCCGTCTCTGCTGCGGGGCGTGGACAAGGTGAGCCCCCCTGAAGGAGCCGGCGGCGCCCTCCTTGCGACACCCGGGTGGCGCCCCTCACTCCTGCACGGCGGCTGCTTACAGACTCACAGATTACTTACAGACTGGCCAGTGGTTTCTGCAAGCAAGATCTTTAGTCCCTGGTTCCTCTACGTACGGGCCGTTTCTTGTAAATAAAAGACCCTTAATTGGCAAATCGCTGAGAAGACAGACACACAGATAAGAACTTGTTAACACCAAGTGCCAAAATGCAAATGCTACCGTGTGGGCTTGGGAAGGCAGCGCAGAGCTGTGGGCAGGCTTGGGCCCCAGCGCTGACCGCCCTGTGCCGGAGTCTTCCTTCGTCTCTGCAGCTGCACGACCTTGGATGCGAGCTAATCCGGCGCATCCCCAGTCCCTAAATTATAAGTGTGTGGGTCATAGCAGCCACGTGGGTCCCAGGGACGCTGGGAGATCGAAGGATAAAATGGCTTTGCCAGCGTTCTGGGAAAACTGAAGAGCGTTCGCGTGAAGGGCCAGCGTCGTCCGGTCAGCCGAGCATGCTGGCGGGTCTGCCTGACGGTACAACGTCTTCCCTGTTGCTTGGCAAGCCCTGGAGAGGAGGGACCTTGTCCCAGTGTCGGTCCCCACTGTGATTTACTGAATAAATAAAGTGATCATCCCTTCAGTCGGAAACCTTAAAATCACATTTGACTTTTGTCTTTTCTCCGTTCCTCTGTCAAATCATTCCTCACGTTCTGGTTTTCAGGGCCACACCTTTCCACCACCTGTGTGCGGCTCGAGTTCAAACCCTGGCTATTCGGGCTGAGTCACGGGGATGATCCCATAGATGCCGGACCCTCTCCGTCCCGTTGTCCACTGTGACGCCATCATCCCATTTCCTTTGTGGACTCGCCGGCTTGAGAGCCCAGGAGGTTTCCCTGTTGACTCCCTCCCTCGCGTCGGTAAGCAACGGTGTCTGCCTCTTTTTCCTGTGTTTCTCCTACTTTACTGGATCAGAAATCAGAGGCAGAAACACAGGGATGCATCAGCTGTGCGGTGGGGGGCCGAGCGACACAGAGCTGACGTCGCGCCCAGAGCCGCGCTCCCTCTGCTCCTCAAGCACCACGAACACACAGAGCAGGCCCCCTTTGTATGTCGACTGTTTACAAACGTGGACTCCGTGCTACACAAACTTCTGTAAGTTGCTACTTTCACTTAGGAAAAGTCACAGGTGTCTATCCCTCCAGGCAAGGCCGGAGGATTCAACTCATTTTTCAGATGGATGCATCGTATTTCCCAGAATGTGTGTCCTAAAATTTATCCAGCCATCCCTGTAAGTTCCCTGACTAATGGGTATTTAGGTTGTTTTATTTCATTTAATTGTTTTATTCCGCTATAAAAAGAAGTGCAATAAATATCACACACATCTTGGCGCATATTTCCATAATATAGTTTTTTTAGAAGATAGTTTCAGTTTTTCTGGACGATGTACAAATCCATGCACTTTTTAGTGATGTGTGATTATCCCAATTTTTCTAAGCGCTGATCGACAATGGAGCACAGGAGCCTCATTTTTGCCGAGTGACATAATGTACCATCATCGCTCACGTTCTCTTTCCCTGACCGCAGATAAGGTTCAGCACCTTCCCACACGTGGGCCTCTTGCTTTCTCTCTCCTGGGAAATCCTGATGCTCACCCTTTGCCTAGTTTTAAAATGTTCCCATGGATTTGCAATAGCTCCTTGTACATTTGAGGTATTAATCTCGGTGCCCATCTTATTTGGTGGGGGTATTTTCTTTCACCTGTTTTTCCCTTTGCTGGTGGTATTTCCCCCATATAGGGTAAAAAAATGTAGGTGACCCAACTGGTCACTTGGAAAGAGCTGCTGGGCTCTAGCGTGTGGTTGTGGTTTCTGGGTGCTCGCTGCCCTCATGCCAGCGGCCCCGGTCCTCCTGGGCCCTCTCGGGGTGCAGCCAGGTCCCCACGCCGGCGGCCCGTCCTCCTCCAGGCTGGAGTGTGGGGGCTCACGTGGGGGTCTGCTCCACATCCTCGGGCCGTGTGTGTGAGCCAGCCAACAAGCATGGCCCCCTGCTCTAGTAAACACCTGCTCGCCCCACAGCCCCCTGAGGCGGCCGCGCAGTGAGGGAACACACCCATCCTTTAGGCAGATATAAAGCCCCACACATGTGACCAAAGAACAGCTTTTAATAAGTAGTAATAAATTAATGTCCTACATTTATAAGCAGATCTATGTTCACTCTGAGACTGTATTTGACTTATATTCAGCATTCCCCCAACTTAAATTTTGATAAAGTGGTACAAAAAATAAAATTCAAAGATTCAAATATGTTTTGACCTAGAGAAATCTTAATAGAAGGGTCCATTGTATAAGTATTTCAAATTACCCTAGTGGTTTTCTAGTTTATAACTTTCTAAGCCAGTTTTTCTTTTTAAGTTGAAGTACACTCGACACACAAAACCGTTTCGGGTCCAGAACACAGTGACCTGACATCCATACACGTTATGAAAGGCTCGCATGGTGAGCAGTCACCGTCTGCCCCCACCTGAAGTTTCTGTCCTTTCGACGATACTCCCTATGCTCTACTTCTCATCCCTGTGACTTATTTATTGTATAACTGGAAGTTTGTACTTTTAAAATCCAAGTTTTCTAGAAAAGATTTCATTTTACCTCTTTTTTTAAGGAGAGAACAAAGCTAAAAGAATAAAGAAGAATTAGAGAAGCTACGTGGGAGGTGTGTCTGTGTCCAGGGGGAGATGAACCACGCAATTCCACAGGAAATGTTCAGAAATTAAAATGTTTCAGCAATTGCTCAATGGGAGATGTTCATGAATTTTAGGGAGAAGGGTTCGGGTTTGGAATCTTAAGCATGAAGTGTAGCTTTTTCCATTTATTGTGTCTCTTTGCCCCTTGAGCCTCAGTTTCCTAGAAAGGATATAGACAGGACAGTGTCCCCACTGGGGCCCAGGTGGGCGTGCAAGCTCGTAACAGCCCAGGAGAACGGCTCTGCACATGTGGGGGCGTGCCGGCCCCTGCTGAATTGTGACCTCAGCCGTGTGGACACTGTCATTTTGCCCTCACTAGGCTGTCTCTGTCCGATGCCTGTGTGCAGTTCAGGGTTCCTCCTCAAGGGGAGAGCTCTGCCATCAGATGAGACAGGGCTCTCAGAGGGCAGGTGTGGGATACCACACAGCGACAGAAGATGATGGGACTATCCAAGTGATGGGAAGGGGACCTAAAGAAACAGCATGTGACAGAAAGCAAGAGAGAAAGTTCTAGAAGGGGTGTGTGGGGGAGGAAGGCACACAGAATTGTGACCACAGGGTTTTGGGGGAAGCTCTGAGTGCAGTTCATTGGTCCTGATCTCGACCCCCCTCGGGGTGGTCGAACGTGGGCAACACCGCCTTGCTCCGTCCATCCATGGAAGTTCCAACCATGGATGCTGGGATGTGGGCCTGCTTGGTGCTTGACACCCCTCCGTCCCAACACATCTGGAGTTGGTGCTCATGAGGTCCATGTGGGATCCGAGAGAGGAGTTTGGGGGAGCTGGGACAGCAGTCCGCTTTCCACAGACTCCAGTGGATGGGCAGCGAGGGAGGGGAGGCCCCAGAAGGACGGACACGAGGTAAGAGCTTCTGGGGGTAAAGAGAGTGTCTCTCTTTTGTCAAGCCCAGGATGGGGTGGGTCTACCCCTCAGAGGGGGAGAGGGAGAGGGCAGGAGAGGGCAGGCGGATGGGGCATTAGGAGGAGCAAACAGACCCACTCTGAGGCCGCACGCAGGGAAGACGGCGGGTGAGGGAAAGCAGGGGGTTGAGGAGGGGTGAGAGCTCCCGTCCTGGGAGGAGGAGGTTTTACTGACAGTGGTGGTCTAGGCCACGTCTAACCCCAGTCAGCAGTGCATGCCGTGTGGACGGGGCTGTCCCGCCCGGTGTGGATCACGTGCCACCAGGGTGAATTCACATGGTGTGGACGGGTCTGTCCCACATGGTGTGGACTACATGCCATCAGGGCAAATTCACACCATGTGGATGGGGCTGTCCTGCCCTGTGTGGACTATGTACCACCAGGGTGAATTCACACAGTGTGGACAGGGCTGTCCCACCCGGTGTGGACCACATGCCACCAGGACGAATTCACATGGTGTAGACAGGGCTGTCCCGCCCCATGGGGACCACGTGCCACCAGGGTGAAGGGGCCATGCTGTACCTTGCGGGACGTCTTCTCTCCTAGGAAGGGAGGCAGCGTGGCTCCGTGGGCAGGACACGGGCCCGGAGTCAGGGTCCCTCTACGTTCTCTTCCTGGTTCTCCCCAGCTTGGGACTGAGGCGAAGTCACTTAATTTCCCTGTGCCTCCATTTCTCCATCTGCAAAACATGAACACAGCTTAAAGCGCCTATGATTTCACCAGCACGTGAGAAGAGGTTGCAGCTGTGGACAGGGACCCTTGGGTGGCCCCCAGGAACCAAGTAGCATCTATCCCATCCACGGACAAGGGCTCCCCTGGGAAGCTTTCTCGAGGACCTGGGGCCTCTGCTTTGGCTCCGACAAAGGGTCTCCCCAGGGACTTGCTCAGGTGGTGCAGTCAGGGACCAGCCCTGTCTGTCGCATGGGCTCTGCAGTCTGAGACCGTCTGCTGGACCTGAGAAGGTTCTAGAACTCCTGTTCTCTGGCCCAGACTCCCTCCAGTGCTCTTGCAAGATAACAAGGTAACACTAACAATTCAGTTAACCAGCTCAACAGACAGCCACACAGCACTTCTAGCAAGAAACTATTATATCAACTTGCTTTGTTTGAACAGCAGACAACTGCGTAGTTGAGTTAAATAAGAAACCAAGGGGGTCACTGGGGCCATCTTCCTCAGAACTCCACAATGCCTTCCTGTCGTCTGGGAACCAGCCGGCCCTGTCTGCTCTGCTGACCTGTGGGGACTGAGCTGCAAATCCTTTCTGGGCAGACGTCATCTTCCCAAGGAATGACTTCACCCACACAGGCAGTGAGTAAGTGTTTGAACACGTGTGTCTTGCCAAGAACACGATACAGACCACAGAAGATTGAAAATCATCAATTCCCAGAAAGAGAAAGACGTTGTCTTTTTCAACTTTGCCACTTAAAACACGAGAACTCCCCACCTCCTCCTTGGGGTTTAATAATTTCCCTGAAACTTTACTATGAGCTCACCATCGGTCTTATGGTGCAAGTCCCCAGAATGCATGTCATTCGGGAGCAGGGACAATTCCACCTGCTTCTGTATCTTAGCTGCCTTCACCCAGCAGCTGCTCAGTATGGGTTTGTTGATTGAAATGACAAAAGAAAAGAAAAAAGGAACAGGGGGAGGAAGGAAGGAAGGAAGGAAGGAAGGAAGGAAGGAAGGAAGGAAGGAAGGAAGGAAGGAAGGAGGGAAGGAAGGAAGGGAGGGGAACAGAAGGAAGGAAGGAGGGATAGAAGGAGGGAGGGAAGGAAGGAGGGAAGGAAGAAAGGAAGGAAGGGGAAGGGAGGAAGGAAGGGGAAGGAAGGAAGGAGAAGGAAGGAAGGAAGGAAGGGAGGGAAATGGAAGGAAGGAGGGATAGAAGGAGGGAGGGAAGGAAGGAGGGAAGGGAGGAAGAAAGGAAGGAAGGAAGGAAGGAAGGAAGGAAGGAAGGAAGGAAGGAAGGAAGGAAGGGAGGGAGGGAGGAAGGGAGGGAGGGAGGAAGAGAGGGAGGGGAAGGAAGGAAGGAAGGAAGGAAGGAAGGAAGGAAGGAAGGAAGGGAGGGAGGGGAATGGAAGGAAGGAAGGAGGGATAGAAGGAGGGAGGGAAGGAAGGAGGGAAGGAAGAAAGGAAGGAAGGAAGGGAGGAAGGAAGGAAGGGAGGAAGGGAGGGAGGAAGGGGAAGGGAAGAAAGGAAGGAGGGAGGGAGGGAAGGAATGAAGGAAAACTAGAAACAAGAAAGACCCACACTCCCACTGACATGTGTGGGGAATTCTAAGTGACTGGATTAGGTTATACAAGAGACTCAACCAACCAGTCAAATGTTTAATGGTTAAAAGATCTGAAACCAGGCTGACTTGGGTTGCTAAATCATCTCCATTTATCACCTCAGGACCTGAGTTCGCTGTTGTCTAGAATTTTTCAGTCTCTAAAATAGATAATACACAGAAGGGATCCAGTGCACCATAAGGGCTCTTGAACGGTAGTCCGTTCATACATTCCTATCACCACATTTATCATCACACTTACCTATATACCTGCATAGTATTTCTGAGTTTCAGTTTCTCATTTATGACCATGATGTTGTGAAGAGCAACAGAGCTAGATGCAGAGAATTCTGCCTCCCTAATATGAATGCCTTTCATTAATTCAACCAATATTTACTGAGGGTGTGCTTTTCGGTGTTCTGCTGGACTCAAGTGAGTCAGTGTAAAGCAAGGTGGGTAAGATGTTCCTACACAAATCCAAAGAAAAGTGAAAGAAACAATAGAGATAAGTTAAGATCAACGTAGTCACATCTTAAATATGCGAAAAAATAATTTATTTTGGGTATAAAGAAAAAACCCAGTGTGTTGGGTAAAATAGAAACCCCATGGCCATAATTAAATGTACTAAAAAAATAAATAAAAAGAGGAACCTCAATAATTGAGAAAAGCACAACATAATCTACTAAAACAAAAATTAAAACAATGCAGTGACAACATGTTCAGCTTTAATACTGTAACATAGGCAAATGTTTGCCTTTTTAAAATAAATTCTTTTATTAAATTATAGTTATAAAAGAAGCATTTTGCAAACAGCTAATATTCAACTGAATGTTAGTATTATTATCAAGAAATACACATATAAATAGCTCATAATATTTAAAAATTCAACAATTAAATTATATATTAATGAACGATAAGCACTCTTAATTATGGTTCAACTCATGTTCTTAGCATCAATTAAACTGAATATGAGATTCCTATTTATTGCCCCTGTCACATAAGCCGGAAGCATCTTCTTCTGTGGGTTTTGTGTTTTGTTCACAATGAAACCACCTTAGACACTGCCCTTTAAAAGAACAAATGGGAGAACGAACAGGAACAGTACTGGGATGGAGTGATCGTCTGCAGGAACCCTGCATCTTCCTGTGATCCAGCCAGGAGGCGGCTTCCTGCACTCAGGACAGAATTCACTGCAGGGGCCCAGAGCTCCCTCCGCGCCCGGGACAGGGAGTGGCTGGGACAGGGACAGCCGGCAGCCAGGATTTGGCACCAGAGTCCCTCCCTCGTCTTAGAACCTGGCTTTTTTTTTTTTTAAACATTCAAAGTTAGTGGCAGAAATTCCCTCTAGGAGATTTATTTTAGGAAATCAAGGTCTCAGACGTAATTTATTTCTGTTTATTTGCTTTAGAAAAATTTACATTCCCAGTGCCTGAATGGAGGGCTAGAAAGGAAAGATGCATGGACCCAGGTGTTCAGCACTCACTGTGGGGCCACACGGTGCCACCTGCCGGTCCAGGAGGCCTGAGGACAGCAGGGACAGTCCCTGCCTGGATTGTGCCCCTAGTCTGTTGATGCTCAGCCCTGCGAGGCTCCCTTGGGAAACGCCCTTCACTGTTGGGCTTGTCCTTTCAGGGCAGGTCATGTCCCGGAGACCACGGAGGCACGGAGACCAACACAGCGTCCCCCCCAGAGGCTCGCAGGGACTGCATCAGTGCTCAGAGTGTCCACACAGCCCGAAGCCTGCTGACCCCAAGAACTTTCTTCCCTCCTTGTTCATTTCTCCCTCTTTATTTCTTTGCTGTTTTTTTGGTGGGGGAGGGGAGGATTTCTCCCAAACGCATTTGTCTCGTCTACATTCACCCTCCATCCATCTTTACTTTTGTGTCTTTTTTCATCTCTTTTTCTGTTTTCTGTATCTTCTGGGAGATTTCTTCAAACTTATCTTTGGGTTTTTCAATTGCAATTTCAAGAATACTATTTTATATGCTAAGACTAGCTTTTATCAGTTATACATTTATATTTACTTTGGTGCCTATTTGTCCTTGTTTTAGAGACTGTCTCACCATTGTGTTGCTAATCTCTCACACACCATGGTCTATAAGGAGCACTCTGTTAGTATTTGATTGAACCTGGAATGGGTGAAGGAGGAAGGGGAGGAGTGAGGGAAAGAGAGAGAGGGAGGAGGGAGGGAGGGAGGGAGGGGGCAAGGGAAGAGGGAGGAGTGAGGGAGGAAGAGAGGGAGGAGGGAGGAGCTCTCTGGCATTCCTGCTTGTAACTTGGGTGGGGCTCAGCAAAGCGAAGGACCGAAGGACCATACTGGGTGGGATGCTCAACAGTCACAGGGTAACTTGCAGGGTAGGGCAGGTGAGGGGAAAGGAGCTTGGATGTGGGAGGGGAAGCGCCTGCTCCGGCCCTTCCAGCCCAGCACAGGCTCCCCTGGGGCCTCAGGGGATGTGCACAGGGACTCTGACTCTGGAGTTCCTATAGCTCTCCCTCCACGGGCAATCCTCTCTAGAAACACACGGGAATCCTGTGCTCCTCTAGGCCCGCTCTCCTCAGCTGCCGGTGGGTGAGGCAGCTTCCAGGGAATCAGGGAAACACAGGTGGAGGCAGAATTTAAAAGATAATCAAAGAAAAAATAATATTTATGATCAAGGAAAGAAGCTGGCCTGCTGTGTAAGAAAAGCAAGATCCTAACGTAGAAACCACACACGTACGCAAGGCTGTGTGTCCATATGCACACACACGGATCCAGGTCTGTGTTCGCACACAGCTGTGTTTATTTACCCGACACGAAGCCACGAAGCCACGTAGGACCAACCATCCCGGGCTTCCCTGCATCTGACTCCGTGTCTGGCCAGTCCCAGCCGCAGCCTTCTGACCTAGATCAGCCAGGTTACAGCTAATTAAAGCAGACCCTCATTTTCTCCGCGTGGAGTTCACTACACAGATGGCAATTAAAAAGCATCTATCTGCTTAAATTACAGTTTAAAGGAGGTGCGAGGAAAACCTTGCTGATAATTGAGTCCGAAGGACCAGTAAGCGCTGTGCCGCCTTCGCTGGGAGCAGCGGGGGCAGAGGCTGGGTCACCTGGGGCTCCACAGGGACGTGAAGGGAGAGAGCTGCTGTTTTGCCCATAGGCTCTGGGGACTCGGGGGGCTGGCCGGAGCGCCCGTAGGGGGCCTGCCCCCACCTTCCCGCAGCGCGGGGAGGGCCCTGGCACAGCCCGGCCTCTCTCGGCCGCTCACTCGCCGCCTCCTGAGCTCGGAGAGGGGAAGACGGAAAACCACCTACATAGCCCACGGCGGCCGAGGCGACGTGACCTACGGTGTGGCCACTTCCTGGTGTGAAGGTGAAGGCCGGTGACTTTTACCAGCAGAGCTGAGTCCTGGCCTGGTCAGCTTCCAGCCAGTCCCCTGCTCAGACGACCAAGCGCTCTGCGTCCCCCCTCCCTCTCTAGCGCAGGGATCCTACCTCCTGCCCCTTGGTGGGTGGGGGGGCTGACGGGACGGAGCGGGAGCCCTCCTTCCCCAGTGACACGGTAGCTGGGAAGACTGCATGGCGGTGTTCCACGTGCTTGTCATGCACTTTGGAAACAAATGTTGGGTTGCAAAATTTAAAGTATGATATGCTAACAGCCAAAAACCGCAACACACGGACAAATGCAGGCAAGAGCGAAACCCAAATGTCCATATACCTGTGATGGTGGGCCCAGGACTTTGGAATATGTACGTTTTAGCTCCAACTTTCTCTACCATCCCTCTGCACTCTTAACCTATTAGCGGTGAGGACAATGCCGTTATTCTTGACATGGCCTCCAGATATTAAATACGTATTCCTAAACACTAAATTCTGAGGACCAAAGGAGACTTCTTATTAACCAGGCTGACTCCCTTTAAAAATACTAATGATGATTTTGGAG